TGCACACTGATTTTCGATGGTCTCAGAAATTCAAATGTATTTTATAGAGGCCTTCTTTCAGTCGTTTGATAGAGAATCACGTTATCTTCATTTGTTATACTCGAAGAAGGCGTATAATTGGGTTTTAAAAAGTGTTCTAATTCCCGAATAATTTGGAGCCTAATCAGCCGTTGCATTAGCGCTTAGTGATTGCAGTCTATAAGGTGCATGAGTTAGGCGTAAAGAAAATCACGTATTCTTCTATGCCTTTAAAAGACATATAGAATACATAAAATTTTGCAATGGATGAGGACCATGTTGTACATTTCACGAGGAGCACTGGTAAGCGCACAGGTACAATGCTGTATGAATAAACATTGTACAGTCGTAAAAATCTCATAAACAGAAAACTTTTTAAAATTTGATTATAGTCCTTCTTTGAGTATGAAGTATGAAGATGACTCGTTTGTCTATCAAACGATTGAAAGAAAGCATATTTTTTCGTGGTTTCTATAAAATATATTTGAATTTGCAAGACAATCGAAAATCAGTGTGAAGAATGCATGCTAATTAAGTAGTCATTTTTTGGCGAATACGGTTTCTACATGACACTGAAAAGCAGTGCATTGAAAAGCCGACATCCTGGGGAGTCCAAAATACTATAGGATTATGCTACAAGATAATTAATATTACAACAGCGCTTAAGTAATCCTTCCTAATCGAAAACGCATTTCAGAATTTTGGTCAATATTTCATGAGATCGGTCACGCACTGTAGTAGACGGAAAACGTCAATCACCAGAGTGGCAGACAGAACACTGAAGATGGATAGCCTTGAGGCAGCGGGACCTTGAACAAGGATGCCAGGCACGGTAATGATGACTGTCGGCAGCAGAACCTGTCCAAACCCCTTTGAGCCCCTGCCTTGAACAACTGCCCGGAGCAGTGCTACTCAGTTGTAGCGGCGAATGTGGACTGCCTCATTAGAGACATGAACAGCACATCTGACTCAAAGGATCGTTCCGTGGTTGGAGGCCGCTAGTGAGTCCTTTCTTGACCAGAGAGACTGATCTACTGGACGCCTTCGCTTACTCAAGCTACTTGCGAGGACAGGAACGTGCCCGAGTGTCTATTATGGTTGATTCGGGGGTCACTTGTGGGTTAAACTCGCTTCAAACAGTTGGCCTCCACTGGCGTGGATCGGCGGCAAATTCCTAGACAGCATTCAGTAAATTGTACCTCTTCTCGTTACGCAACCGGAAAGTTGGGACTAAAAAAGTGCTCAAGGCCCGCGTTCATTAGGCAGGGGGCTGGTGGACGTAGCAGAGCGCGAACCAGTAATGAGGACTTAATTCATGAGTTAAGTTGCTGTTCGACTACACAGTCTTTTTGCGGGTTCCGGGGATGGAACGCCGGCGACGGGGGATGCAAGTCTTTTGAACTTTGCGTCCGTACAGGGGGATTGGTTCGATGAATACAAGGTATACTATGGTAGGAGGCGCTCACAGATCGTTCATACGGAACTCACTCGTTCCGTTGTGCCTCAAGGGCTCTCTCTCGAGCCCAAGCAGCAGCCGCACAGCGGCGCATGATATATAGGCAGAATAGTATTACCGACAAAAACAAGGGATACTGGAATGGCCATTTCTGGCTTATTAGCCGTCGTCAGCCAGCCATACCCAACCCCAGTGGGTAGAGGCGTGGACTTCTAAACTAACAGGTCGCGAGTTTGAGCCTCGGGTGTTCCACACTTCGGGCTTGGGTATGACTGGCTGACGACGGTTAATAAGCCAAAAATGGCCATTCCAGTCTCCCTTGTCTTTCTGCCTATACATCATGCGCCGCTGTGCGGCTGCTGGTTGGGCTCGAGAGAGAGCCCTTAAGGCCACAACAGAACGAATGAGTTCCGTATAAACGATCGGTGAGCGCCCCCTACCATTGTATATTCCCGATCGAAAACCGACGGGGGATGCAAGTCTTTTGAACTTTGCGTCCGTAAAGGGGTATTGGTTCGATGAATACAAGGTATACTATTCAGCTTCGATTGCTAGTAGGTCTCGGCACGCGTTAAGAAGAGTGAACAAACGGCGCACTCGCGAGAGCCCGTGTGTAGATTTTCGTCCTATAAATCTCGACTAAAGCCAGTAGAAGCCGTCCACTGGTCCCCCAAAGTGCCAACATCCGCACCGGCCGAACAGACATTTCCGATCGCGATGCCTGAAGAAGCCGTGTTCGTTTTGAAAGAACCGCATTTTTGCAACGACTTCGGCTGTCATCGCGGCATCGGAGGGCACGCCTCATGTCTGTAAAAAATTCGCAAACATCGACTTTGTTAAGGCTCAAACTCCCGACGTCATGGCAATCTGCCGAGCCCAGTCTACTGTCTCCTTGAAGGCGCACAGCCCGGGGATAGCAGAAGTGAGTCAGGCAGGGCAGTTTCAATAATATTTCACAGCGCAGCTTGATTGGCCACAAAGACAGCTGACGGTGGCGGCAGTATTATAGATTCTAATGAAGCAGAAACACAGGCGCGCCAAAAACCGAGAATATGAGTGGTTGTCGATCGTCCCTTGTGCGTGACAAAACGTCCCGGTGAGTTTCCATACACACATTTAATCTAGATATAACTCGAAAAGAGAATATGCTGGCTAGAAAATATCATTCACGTATAGTTCGGCGATCTGGTATGATCAAACTAAGCTATGGGCCACCAAAGGTAGTTGAGAAATTAAGGTTCGTAACGCTCTCATTTGCGTCTAGTCGACGTTTCAGAAGACAAAACCGCTCTGGAAGGCGCCTACTTGCCTAAGAAGCACAAAAACAGACGCAAAATAGAGTCCAAAGAGGGTTAGAAGAAAAACGAAGGAAACACGATGGTGATGACGACGACGGCGGCGGCGGTGGTGGTGGTTATGACGATGATAGCGATGCTGACAGTGATGATGATGATGATGATGATGATGATGATGATGGTGGTGGTGGTGGTGGTGGTGGTGGTGGTGGTGGTGGTGGTGGTGGTGGTGGTGGTGGTGGTGGTGGTGGTGGTGGTGGTGGTGGTGGTAGTGGTGACTACGGTAACAGTAATAATAATAATAATGCTGGGATCGGTGCAAACAAAGGACGGCAGCAGTAGTAAAACGAACCCTGAGAATATCACAAAATCCGGAGGTTGCTGCCTTAATCGCCTCGTGTTGTTGAGCGCAGATATCCACAGAGTGAGAGGCGAATCGCATTCGTAGTTGCCGAGGTCACCCTGGCAACTGTAATTTTGGTCGATATGCGGGTCGGTAATGTGCCAAAAGGAGCCTAGATGTAGGGGAACACAGAGGGAAAATGGGGGAGAAGGAAGAGATGAGCTAAGTGGGAACAGATTTGAGTTTGGTCTTGATAAGGCCTGCAATTGAATGTATTACGCCGTCGTCTCACTACAATTCCACCTATCAAACAGACCATACCGCCGAAATACGATAAGTGTAGTCACAAATTGCATGACTGAACGACTTATGCATAAAGACGATAAGGAAACCTAGAGCTCGATACTGCCAAGGTGAATGGGAACTGTTGACAGTACCTTACAGATGTGCTTGGAGCAGACCTTAAGGGTCTGGCGAAGAGGCGCATCGTCAATGGTTTTGGCTCAACCATGTGTGCAGAATTAAGTGTAAGTCAAAAGTTCGTTAATTAATGTCGTTAAGGACAAGTATTTTCTAGAGGGCACAGGGGTGGCCTGCCTTTCATTTCGCTCATCTGCCCCTCCAGATCGGAAGATTCAAATAAGACCTGAGATCACAGCGGACGCAATGGCTGATCTCGTGTCTACGCGAACCACACACACGCGCTGGCTCCCAGCTGCGCGTGAATCTGGCTTTGACAAAAGTCCGCGCATCTCACGTACGTGGGAACAGCAAAAAGTGCCAAATTAAGAAGCGGCCTGGCCCGGATCGGTTGGAGCCTTCTGAACTATGATTCAAACACAGACCGTGAAAGCTTGATAGATATTTGGGTTTTCTGTTGTGAGCACCACATAAACTCCATGACAGAGAGTCCGAATGGAATCGATCCGAAATGAGGTCAGGCGCGTGACTGGCATGGCGTGAAGCCTCCGTCTACGTTTACCACGTGCATGCGTGAATAGCGTTTTTGGCCTCTTGCAACCCGTTTAGCGTGCACTTGGGGTCTGTGAGGGCCCCATTTGGGTCTATTGCTACCACAGAGGCCGTTTAAGAGGCTTCTGGGGGTAAATATGTGAGGGAAATCGTCACCATTAAGGCATCCTCAAGTCCAACAAACAGTCAGGCATGAGTGGAAGAAGAAGAGGATCGAAGCGGTCACTTGTCAAGCAGTAAGAATGTGTTCACTCACACTTGGGGAGGAGAGTGGCGACTTACGCAGCACCGATCTTCTCTTCATGCGCTCCAGGCGAAGTGAAAACACGTAAAAAAGAGCGCCATGTTTGCAGTGTCACAGGTGCAGGGCCCCTAGCCGACACTAAAGAAACTACAATCGGGCACTTTCGTCAGGAAATTGGGAGGGGTCGGTGTACGTCCCCTCCCCCGCTTCTCAAAGCGCGATCCAGAATGTTCGTGCGTCGATGTGTGGGCGCAAATGCCTGATAATCAACAGGCCCAGACACAAATCTCAACCCATCCGACTGGTTGACGACGGTAGACAGGCCGGAATCGGACCTCTTTGCCTTCAGACTACCGGACAGAGACTGTAATGTCATCGAGGTGGTGAAACCACGTAGGCCTTTGAACCAACGACCGCTGGGCATCTGTGCGGGTACACCATACAACAGGCGCGGTTTTGTTGATAGAACAAAACGTGAAATCGTTTCGTGACCTAGAGAACGCGGGGGGAGGGGAGTGGGAGCAGGGATGGACGGTGCAGGTCAGCTTCGTCCGTGAGAACAGTCAAGAGTCGGAAAACTGACCATTTTCTCATGCCACAACCAGAAGACCGGCAAAAAAACAATAATCCTCAGGATGTAGGGACAGAAACGGGCATGGAAAAAAAGACATCTGCCAGCCACCAGGACTCAAATTCGAATTCAACTGCATTTGCCGACAGAGACTGGTTGACTACGGCAGATAAGCATCAAGACGGTGAAACTATTCAGGCAAATCAATCAGGCGCGCCTTTGAACTAGTGATCACACAACATTACACACAACTTTAACCAGTGGTCGCCACTGAAGACGTCAGTGCACGGGGCGGCTGAAAAAATCCTTGAATACACCCAGCGACGCTGAAGAGACTGGATCAGCGAAAGAACTCTGCAGTTGTCTGCTCAGACGGCTCAAGCCAGGTCCCGCAACGACGACTACCTCCGCCAACTCTGGAAGATGACAGCAAAATCGGCCAGGGATGACCGGAAGCAATATTGGGCTGAAAAAGCGACCTCCATGGAACAGGCCTCGAAAGTCATTGACACTCGAAAACTCTACCGTCTGATCCACCAAGTATGTGGTAATTTCTTTACACTAAGTGACCCTGTTCGCGACGTGAATGGCGGCTTTATTGCTGAAAACTGCGCCAAAGTCTAGCGTCGGCGTGAGCACTTCGAGATTCATCTCAACTTCGATATCAAACCCACCACGTCCTTGCTGTCGTCATCAGCGGAATTCCTTCCCTCCCCCACCTATACAGTGCCATGCGACCCCCCTCTGAAGGAGAAGTCGTCGATGCCATACGAAAGCTACGCAACAATAAGGCACTCGGAGAGGACTGTATACCCGCTGAAATCTTCAAGTCTTGTATCGACACTCTGGTGCCCTGGCACCATGGTGTGACCAAACAAGCATGGAGAGACGAGGTTTTTCCTTATGACCGAGGCTTAGGCATCCTTGTACCTATCCTCAAGAAGGGAGATAAGAAAAGATGCGAGAACTACCACGGCATAAGACTCATCGACGGTGCTACGAAGATCCTCGCTTTTGTCCTACTCAGGCGATTCCTGGCTGTGCGTGACTCAAGGACGAGGCCCAACCAAGCCGGATTTTGTGCTGGACGTAGATGCGCGAACCAGGTAGTCACACTGAGGAGCATTCTCGAATTTCGTCATAGCTGCCAACAACCCACGGCCGTCTGCTACATTGACTTTGCCGCCGCGTTCGATTCCGTTCACCGTGAGTCCCTGTGGCGGATAATGGCGCTAGATGGTGTACCGGCAAAAATAATCACCATGATCAAGGCTTATTATCGCTCCACTATTGCGAGAGTACTGGTCCGCAACAATCTTACCCAACCGTTCGGTTTTCGGTCTGGCGTTCGACAGGGTTGTATCCTGTCGTCCATTCTGTTCAACTATGCTATGGACTGGATCCTCGGGAGGGCCCTACACGAAGATGACGGTGTTGAATTTGCACCCGGACACGGACTTACTGATCGCGACTATGCCGATGACATCGCCTTACTTGCTTCAAGTTTTGGCGATCTGAAGTCTATGTTATCACGGGTGAACGAAGTCGCCAAATCGGTCGGTTTATCCATAAACGCTGGGAAAACTAAAGCGTTTTCAAGCTGCATCCCTGAACAGGAGATGGCACCCTTCGGTACCGATGGCTGTCAACTTGAAGAAGTAGACAGTTTTAAATACCTCAGGGCGAAGCTGCTGCCGAATGGGCAGAGTAAGGAGCACATTGTCTCCCGAACCGATGCTGCCCGCTGGGTTTTCCCAAAGCATCGGAAAGTGTCAATGGATCCGACGTGACCTCCACATCGCCACTAAGATTCGCGTGTACCGTGCATCTGTCCTTATCTATGGTTGTGGATGCCGGGCTTTGCGCGTGGAGGACGAGCGAAAACTGGAGGTATTTGACCACCACTGCTTGAGGACCATCCTTCGAGTGAAATTCACCGACTTCGTCTAAAATGCGACAGTTCGCGCTCGCTGCGACAACATCGAAAGGATAACTCAGGCCATCCACGAAAGACGACTGAGGTGGTTTGGGCATGTTCTTCGTCGTCCACCTCAGAAGCTCAGTGTTACTGCCCTCGATCCGGCACCGTTGCCCCATTGGAGGCGTCGAAGAGGGGTCAGCTCAAAACCTGGCTCGACACAGTTCGTCAAGACATGGAGATGGTGCTTGGACCTTCGGTATTCGGTCTCCGTCGTTGGCGAAGAGGATAGATTGTGCTGTCCAGATCTGCTGCCGACGATCGTCACGCGTGGAGAGGTACAGCTCGTGACATCACCGAGGCCGGCCAAATCAGGCATGATCGCGGCCGTATCAAGTACAAGTTACACAGATATGCAGTTTGTTGGTGGAAAAAAAACATCTACCAGCCACCAGGACTAAAACCCGGATTTAACCGCAGTTTGCGGCAGAGACTGAAGCCTCCGGAGTCAGATGACCGCTGTCGGCAGCTTCACAACGTTCAATGCGGATGGAGAAGCAGCAGAGCAGCTTCAGCCTCCCCCCCTCGGCAGGAACCGGCGCTAGGCCGCAGCCACAATGATTTATGGGCACGCCGCAGCATGCACGTCGCACGCAGTATACGGAGGCCTCACACCACGTCCAGGTGTGCCAGTCGTCCGACAGGTTCGGTGTGAGAGAGGAGTGTACGCAAAGCCTTCTCACGGCGCGCTGTATGACATGCCCACAGATGCAGCCCTGAGGGTTGCCGGCTGACGAGATAACTCAGTCCGGAAGCAGGATGAAACGTGTTATCGATTTGGAGGGATACTTAGGTGGCGTTGATATCGATTGGCACACACGCGACTTTTGAGTGCGCCTCCTTCCACTCGGCAGAAAATGGCCGCTTAAGTAGTATGAATTTTTCTCATTTAATTTCGACGCCCCTGGAGGTTCAAGCATGTCTCTCAGTAGAAAACAAGCACTCATTTCGCATAAAAACACGCCTCCGTCAATGCGCATATTTGATAAGGGGATTTTCAGAAACGCTCCCCGTTTTCGAATAGTTTTGAATCCGACCTCCGGTTTCACTTGCGTTTAAGACTTCCAAAGCGCATGCCGGAAAAATCATACATTTTTCCCCGACATTAAGATATCATATAGAGCCCATAACATTTAGCAATGGATGTGGACCACATTGCGTACTTCAAAAGCAGCATCGGTAGGCGGACAGATAAAGTGCTGTAGGGATGAACACTTAGCCGTCTTAAAAGAACCCCATGATTACAAGCTTTTTTAAGACCGGAAGATACCTTTTCTATAAGTGAGAAAAAATCGAAGGCGTGCTTTGCAACCAGACGAGTGCAAGGAAGAATACTGCTGTATGTGAATTCTATAGGATATATTTGAACTTATAAGGGTATCGAAAGTCGGTAGGGAAAGTCCGTACTACTTAAGTAGTAACTTTCTACAGAAATTAGCTTCTGCAAGCGTCCGCGAACAAACACACTCAAAGGCCGGAATCGTGACATGACTTAAATCTCTTCAGATTATGGAGGATAATAATCAATATCACGACCTCGCTTAAGTAATTTCCAACCGCATTTCGAAATTTCGGTTAACACTTCATGTGATAGGCCTCCCTCTGTAAGTTAAATATCGCAGGGTTGGATAGTACTAGGAAGATAATGGATTTAAGCATCTGAGTGAACATCCCGCTATACAGGAACTGCAGAACGGTTTGACAAGTAAGTATGATGTTTACTCTTCGTGAAAACAAAAACAAACCACACAAGACGACGCATACATCCGAGTGCGGTTGTCGAAAAGGCCAAAAGACTGGATGACTAGCAAAGTTAAAAAAAATCCATGGATAAGCGGAAGGCCGACGAGAAAATAACCTTTAGGACCAACAAGACAGTCAGCGGTACTACTTGTACTTTATACGGCTGCGATCATGCCTGATTTAGCCGGCCTCGGTGATGTGACGAGCTGTACCTCTCCACGCGTGACGATCCTCGGCAGCAGATCTGGACAGCACAATCTATCCTCTTCGCCAACGACAGAGACCGAATACCGAAGGTCCAAGCACCACCTCCATGTCTTGACGAACTGTGTCGAGCCAGGTTTTGAGCTGACCCCCTCTTCGACGCCTCCAATGGGGCAACGGTGCCGGATCGAGGGCAGTAACACTGAGCTCCTGAGGTGGACGACGAAGAACATGCCCAAACCACCTCAGTCGTCTTTCGTGGATGGCCTAAGTTATCTTTCCGATGTTGTCGCAGCGAGCGCGGACTGTCGCATTTTAGACGAAGTCGGTGAATTTCACTCGAAGGATGGTCCTCAAGCAGTGGTGATTAAATACCTCCAGTTTTCGCTCGTCCTCCACGCGCAAAGCCCAGCATTTACAACAGTAGAGATGGACAGACCATAATAGATTTAAGCATCTGCGTGAACAGGAACTGCAGAACGGTTTGACAAAGAAGTACGAGATTTACTCTTCGTAAAAAAGACAAACCACACAAGACGACGCATGCATTCGAGTGCGGTTGTCGAAAAGGCCAAATGAGTGGAGGACTAGCGAATTCAAAAAATCCACGGATACGCGGAACGCCGACGAGACAATAACCTTTACGATCAACAAGGCAGTCGTCAACGGCCGTCAACCCAAGAAGAGCGTATCACTGTTCAGTTCAGACGGTTGCTTCAGGAATTTCAGATTACGAAGGGCGGAACCGGGTGCGTTAGGGACCCATCCGCAGCCTGTGAGGACGTCAACAACACCAAATGCTAACCTCGTGACGTGACTCTGTAGAGACGATGACTGCAGTGCAACGGACCTCTCGCAAAACGGCGGCGCGAATCGACTCAACCTCTGAGAAATGTGGGAAAGACGAATGCCTCAAGATTTCGAGAAAGCTACAGACAAGAAAATAACCGTCGGGTTTTGGAGCTACAGTGGGTGGGCTAACCCATGAAATGTCAACAGAAATTCCGAAATACCTCTTCGTTTCGAAAAGTTTAATCAAATAGGGTTGTAATATTAATTATCTTGCAGCATAATTCTATCACAATTCGGATGCCGGCTTCAGAAGGAACTCCTTTTCGGCTGCATGCATGAACTAATCTCTGTAAAAATAACTACTTAAGTCGCCTGCATTTTCTCTTTGAGTTTTGATGCCCTTAGAAAGTCAATTATTTTTCATAGAAAAGATGAATAAAAATATTCAATTTTCTACTCCTTCGGTAGGAAATTACGTCTTCTTTCAATTTTATTGTCGAAGGAAGGGTATAATTTAGTTTTAAAAAAGTTTCTAATTGTGAGATCTTTTAATACCGCGAAATGGCCGTTTATAAAACGTCATGTCTCTGTATTTACTAGTGTCGCTTTCAATGTTAGCAATGTGGCTCAAATCCACTGCTATATTCCATTGACCCCATATGATCTCCTCTGAATACCGTAGAGAAATTTACGGTCTTCCGTACGCAAAAAATATACGGCTTCTAGTTTGGAAACCCCGAATGCAAGGTTAACGGCAGGTCGAGTTCAAAATTATTCGGGAATTGGAAGTTTTTTAAAGCCGAAGTAAATCCTTTCTTTGAGTGTAGAATTGACAGAAGACGTAATATTCTACGGAATGAGAAAAATAATGAATATTTTTATGCATGTTTTCTATGAAAAATAATTGCCTTTCTAAGGGTATCGAAAACCAATGAGAAAAATGCATGCTACTTAAGCAGTCAGTTTTTACAGAGTGTATTCCTTCATGCAGCCCAAAAGAAGTTTGCTTGAAAGCAGGCATCCTGAGGTAACTGAATTATTATAGAATTATTTTGCACGATGATTGGCTTTAAAACCCGGCCTGATTAATCTTTTCGAAACGAAAAGGTATTTCGGAATTCCTGTTGACAGTTCATGAGGTGGCCCGCCCACCGTATTTTCAAGAGCAATGCGGATGGGAGAACATTATGGAACGGACGGAGTGACCTTCGCTGCCCGACGAAGGCAAAAAAGCAACGAAAAGTGAAGATCTGCCCCATATCACTTTCGCTGATGCAAAAAAGGCCGCCCCCCAGCACCGCGGTTTAGCGAAGTTCGACACGCCTCAGATGGGTTTATGCAAACGGCGAAACCATTGCACAGGTGGCAAGATGGTTAATGTGCGCCACAGTGAAGCGTCAGTGATGAGCGCCAGGCGCCTGCTGAAAGGCGGCACAACATGACACTGATAATCCCTCTGAAGCACCCGAAAATCGATCAAACGACCTGGAAAGGCTGTCCGCAGGTACAACGGGCTTGGCGTGACGGTTTAGCCGCCGATTTCGACCATGCGCTCCACAGCAGGGTGAGAACAGGGACGATGACTTTCCCTTCATCTACCGCATTCTCCCTTCTCCTCCATCTGGGTCTGATATTAAGACATAGTCGAGAAGACCTGAGGTGGGAGAGGACGCAGGTGGCCAGTGTGGCCGGAGCCGCACCTAGGCGTGCCGCCACACCCGGCTCGGATCCCACGAAGTGGTAGCGCCATAGAGGCCACATTAAGAAAGAGCCATTACAGCCTGACTCCCGGTCCACCGGTCCGCCACTCCGCACAAAAACACACTGGGCTGACTGCGAAGTCCGAGTTATTCCGTCAGTTGGCAACCCTTCAAGCCACGGCTTCTAGCGCACTGTGGTAGTCTCAAGGGCGTCCGGTTGTTTATAGTGAGGACAGTGCGCTGAGTCGTCAACCTCACACTCTCTATTTTCATTCCCAGGCTCCGGCCACTATCCGAGCTGGTCAGATGTCTGGTGCGGGGCTGACAAAGCTAGAGAGCTCGTCTGCGCGCACCACGTGCACGACCCAGCCCCTAAAACGTGCGCAGAACGCTCGGATTTCACATGCAGCAGTAGGAGCCACATGTATAAAGGAGCCGAAATGCACACTTCCCATTTACGTGAGAGGTGCCAGAGACGTGGGATTTTGGTGGAGCATGTGTTTATGGGGGAAATGTGTGGTCATGCCTGTGAGGATTTACCACAGGTTCTCCTAAAAGTGCCCCCGATCGCACTCCCTGGTCCGCAAAGTACAAGATGAAGGAAAAAGGGGCAGTTAGAGTCGTACAGGGCTTAAGTGCCATAGAGGCCACATGAAGAAGGAGCCGTTGCAGCCTGACTCGCAGTCCACCAGTCGGCCACTCCACATACACAAATGGGCTGATTGCGAGGTCTGGGTTGAGCCGTCAGCTCGCAACCATCAAGGTCACGCCTTTTATTGCGCTGTGATAGTCTGGAGCGCGTCAGGTTGTTTATAGTGAGGAAACTGAGCTGAGTCGTCGACATCAACCTCTACCGCACAGCGACAGTTCGACCGTCGCTGCCGACGGTGTTCACCGTGTGCCCCACAGGGGGGGGGGGGTAAGAATAGGCATATTGAGTTGCGCGTGAGATAGTCCACAGTGATGGTGAACTTGAGCAGCATCTACCACACGCCCATCTTCTCCCCCTCCACAATCTGGGCCCGGTATCAAGATAGGGCTGAGAATACCAGTGGCGGAAGAGTACGTAGACGGCTGGTACGGCGTAAACCAGCACCTTAGCGTACCATCAGAGCCCCCGGTCCACAACGTACCCAAGAAAAAAGTTATAGAGGGGCACGGCAGCACGGATTCCAACTGGCGTGGCACGGGCCTCCTACTAGACGTGTTAACAGACCCCAATGTGGACGCGCTTACCCCATAACGTCTGTCAAACTCCGACAAAGCCCCTGTGTTGGTCCAGCGCACCTACCACGCGACCCCCTTTTGGAGGCATGCCACGAGAGTTCCGCCGTCGATTTCGACGATGTTCACCGTATGCCCCACAGCAGGTGGTGGGAGCAGGGACGGTGACTTGCGGGGGGGGGTTAAAGTGCCAGTAGACTTGCGCTGAATCTACCACACTCTCTCCTCCCCCCCCCGCCTAAGCCCGGTGTCCAGACAGGGTCATGAAGACCGGAGACGAGGGAGGCCGCAGGTGGATGGCTTGGACGGATCCTCGCCTTGGCGCTCCACTCCGAAACTCCTGGTAATCTCAAAAAATGGCCAGGATTTTGACCCACAGAACAATGGGGTGGTGGCAGTGGTCCCAGTTGTGCGACGACTACCGACAACAGGGTCTGCCAGCGCACCCCCTAGATGTTGGCATTTCTTATTGCGCAAAGATAACGCCTGCCAGAATCCGATGTGGCCCCCGTGTTGGTCCAGCGCATCTAACACGTGGCCCGTTTGGGGGGCACAGAGGCATATCACAACACTACACATGCACACTTTAATAAGGTACAAGTCATCCCGTCACACACACGCGCACACCTCAACGATCGACAAAGCATCATCCATCACTTAGGCAGCAATCATGCAACGCAATTTGTCAGAGTAAGTATGACGGGCGGAAAATCACATGCGCGCGTCTTGCTAATGTCAAAACTGTGCTTCGACGGCATCTGGTTGCATGGTGTGCTGTGTGCGATAGGCATGGGCCGCAAGCCAACACTACGACCTCAGAAAAGTTGTGGACCTCGTTATCCACAGTGGACAAACCACCCCCAGCAACAACTGGACTTGTATGCTACTGAGAGCAGAGAATGACACAGAATTCGTGAAAAAAAAACGCTTTGTGCGAGGACAAATGCGTACTCACGCATCTTTAATGAGAGTGCTTGTGACTTTAATGGCGGCAGTTAGAAGTGTCGTCTAATGCAAAAGTAGAACTTCAGTTCCAGATTAGAACGGTCGATAAAATAATCTTTTTTTCCTTCGAGTTAGGCTCGGGCTTGTCTACTGCAAGTACGGCTACGAAATAAGATCCGACCTTTTCAATTAACCAAAGGACGGTGACCGACAAACTACGTATTACCTACCGACCATTGTGGCGATACAAGCGAAAATGCGATTTCCATGAGACAGTCTCAAAGGATTGCGTACCTCTGATGAAGCAGGCGAATCTCGTCTCAAGAAGGATGCCCAAATGAAGAAAAAAGACGAGAGAGAGGCAACTTAGGCAAACCGCAGTTAGCACAGGTGAAGCTGTCGCTGTGTCCAGCTCCACTGGGGTTGCATTAAAAAGTCGCCAGTATGCACAGCTGTCCTGAATTGGCGACAACGACAACTGCCTGCGTCCTTTTTCACTTTTTTTGTTTACAGCGCGTCCGGTTGACTCTGAGGACACATTAGATGGGTCTGCTTTGCGCCGGGGCTGACAAACGTCCACGCACACGCATCCAAATACGTTTCCCTCCCCTCCCCCCCCCTCCCTACCGGAGTTCTCCTCGCGTACAGCGTGCATCTAGACGCCTTTGGCTGGCATAACGCAAATAAAACCCCCCCAATGAGGAACATACACTTGAGTAAACAACAACAACAACAACATCGCCCTGGTCAACAGTCGTAGTCACCACGACCTTCGTCGCCCACTTCCTCCTCGGGTGTCTTGCTGACGTTTCGAAGAGCTTGGGCGGCTCTCCATTATAAAAGCGTCTGGTGCAAACATCGATTAGAATTTTAAATAGACAGCCGAACTAGTTGGCCTTGGGCTGATCGATTTTTTTGTCTTATTTCGCTGTCTTCGTCTACCAGCCGTCGCTTGCGAGTGTTTGTGGCTTCCTGTATTGTGTGTCGTCACCGTAATTGGAGTTAGTTGCGTTTGTGTCCCCTTTTTGGGTGAATTGGTCGACAGGTAGTGTTTGCTCCGTGCTCTTCTTCTCCTCGTCACTGCATATGTAATGACGTAGGACTTTATAGGCCACAGGAAAGTCTAGGTGCCTGTTGATGGAGTTGGCATCTGAGTACCAAGCCTTTAATGTGAGACGTTCTGTCCTTGAGGTGCCCCGGCCTAAGAAGACTGTTCCTTGAAAGTCAAAACTGTTGCCAGTTTCTCCGATGTTAGTCACAAGCTGTGAGTTTGGGTCTAGTCTCCGAGTTACCCGTTTATGCCCATGTAGGCGGGTCTGCAATTTCCGCCCAGTGGTAACATTCACAACATCGTCCTGGTCAGCAGTCGTAGTCACCACGACCTTCGTCGTCGTCGAGTGTGGGCGTAATACACCACAGTCTAAAACATATTTTACCTTTGGTGGACAAATGTATGAACAAATCAAAGGCACCCTTATGGGCTCCGCCGTATCAGGGCTGATTGCTGAAGTGGTCCTTCAACGGATATAACGCTTGGTGTTCGCCATGTATCACCCAAAGTTCTGGGCTCGTTACGTCGATGACACTCCTGCCATTGTCAAATCATCTGACGTGGAGCACCTTAAAGAATTACGGAACTCGGTTGATCCGAATATCCAATTCACGATGGAGGCTGAAACAAACAACCAACATCCCTTCCTCGATGTCCTTATGCGTCGGTGTGCAACTGGGCAATTAAAAACTACAGTTTTCAGAAAGACCACCAACACAAGACAAATACTTCACTTCCACAGCAATCACCCTTTCTCTCACACACACACAAACGCAGCTTTGTCCGTAATCTTTTCCAAGGAGTTAAAACACACTGAAGCACACCAGACGACAAAAGAGTTTGACGACAATATCTTCATGACCTCTTTCAAGTCAATGGATACCTAAGCTACTTTATCAAGCAAAGCAAACGCCGAATGAACGGAAGACGGTCACAAGAAGAACAACCCGAAGTCTGGAGAGCTAGTCCTTACAGTAAGGGAGTCTCTGAGGCGGTTTCACGACTGTTACAACCCGCCAGGGTAGGCATTTGCCATCGATCCCAGGCAGCAATTCATGGCCGTTTGATGCAACCCAAAGACATACTGTCACCCACTTAAACCTGAGCAGTTGTCTATCAAATACGTTGTAACGACGGAGACTGCAACTACGTTGGGGAAACTGGCACCTCGCAGACTAGACCCGAACTCACAACTTGCGACTCACATCGGAGGTGGCCACAGTTTAGACTTTTAAGGAGCAGCCGTCTTAGGTCGCGGCACCTCAAGGGCAGAACGGTTCACATTTCCGGCTCGTTACTCAGATGCCAACTCCATCAACAGGCATTTAGACCTTTCTGCGGCCTATAAAGTCCTACTTCACTACATACGTCGTGAAAAGGACCAAACAGTCATACGGAGCGTAAGAATACGAAGCAAGCACGGCCTGTCGACCCAAAAGGGCGACATAAAGGTAACTAACCCCAATTGAGGTGATGACACACAATACAGGAGGCCACCAACACTCACAACCGATGGTCAGTAGGCCAAGGCAGCGAAAGAAGACAAAAAACTGATCAGCCCAAGGCCAACTAATTCGGCTGTCTATTTAAAATTCTGATCGATGTTTGCACTCGACGCTTTAATGATGGAGAGCCGCCCAAGCTCTTCGAAACGTCAGCTAAACAATTCCCTCGATCCGGCGAGCAGTGCCCTTTTCTCAGATTATCGACTCGGATTTTTTACGTTCGCTAACCGGACCTGCTAATGTCAAGTAGATGCGATCGCTGGAACAGGAGATTTATTCGTCCGACGTTTCGGATTTACGCTATAACTCCTCGCCAGAGACAGGGGCACCTGACGCATCTGACGTCTGCCAAGCAGAACAAAAGACTGCAATGGGTAGATGTTGAAGAAGGAGACACGATCGCTGGGACAGGAGCCCTATTAACCTGACGTCAGGCTAATAAAGCTCCTGTCCCAGCGATCGTGTCTCCTTCTTCAAGAATACTCTTCCTGGGACTCATCTCTTCGCTTTTAGTGGGTAGATGTTCCCCTGGACCCAGTGCTGGATTGCCGCTCTATCAAGCTGTGCTCTACGAGATGAGGGCATCCGATGGGGCTTCTCTGAAGCCGTCTGAAGCCTGGTTCATTTAGTGGGTATGAATCCAGTCCTGCCGTGGCACGCATAGGCTTCATGCAAATTCAGTCACGGCTCTGCGTCTTCACTCCCCTCCTGCGGAGAACATGACGTGCAAAATCGTTGGTGATTCACGCTGACCAGGACGACATTCACTCCAAACTAAAGTTGTAGCAGCAGCCCAAGGCACCCGCCTCCTCATGGGGAACGGGTGAGAAAAGTGCGCCGTCTACAAGCTGATCGTGAGCCGTGAACGCAATCAGAGAAACGGCCCCTTCTGCTCCTTCTGTCGCAATCCTCAAATACACCCGCTCCGGCTCATGGACAAGTTTTCATCACTGTTACAGCAGAGGTAGTGACAAGGACATAGTTCATTTGTACAACGGCCAAAGGAATCGACAAAATGCGACAGTCGCCGAGGACTGTCCCTCCCTCCCAATCAATGGGGTTCACAAAATGCGCGGGACCATGGACTTCATCTTCGGGGCTAAAGGTCATCTTCGTGAGACTCACCAACGCCTTCGATACGGGAAACCGTGATGACCTAAGGAGTACTGAGAACATCCGGATGCCTCAAACAGCCAACAGTGATAATCAGAAAACTTTATGACGATTTGATGAGGTGTGCATGTGATGAATGGATAAACACTGGAAACCTTCGCGGTTACGTGACTGTGAAGTCCTTCTATCCTGCGCAACGCTAGTGGATGTAGAATTGTGTACTTGTTTACCGTATTGACAACACAGGTATTAGCTAGTGGATGTCTACTGAGAGGAGCGACAAGGCATCGGCATAAACTGCCATATGGAGACCCTCGAAAAAGCTCTACAACCAGAATACATGACTTCCTATGTGACGACGACTGTACATTGAACATAGCGACTGATGTGGACCTCTTCACTTCCAGACATGCACACTTATGATTGACCATCAACACGCAAAAAACCATTACTATGGTCTAATCAGTCAACTGGTGGATACACTGGATCCATGGTAACTTTAGCCTCCAAATGGTAAACCGACTTTCTTACCTGGGTAAGATCTTGGAAATCATAAAAATCCGCATCGAGCTTACAGCGCAGATCTCTAGAGCCAGTTAGACCTTTGGCCGGCTACAGCCTGGAGTTGACATATCATGTTCGTTGACGCATAAGTCAGAATGCGCATGCTTTTATCATGACAACGCTACTGTACGGCGCTGATATCTTAACAGCATACGTCAAGCGAGAGAGCTCCAAGACGTCCACCTAGGTTGGGTTTGGAGTATATACAAAGTGGAGTAGCAGAAACTGATTCCTGACACCCAGGTTCTGGGGTGTACTGTCATGCCGACGCTGGCGGAATATCGTGAGAATAACTAAGGAAGCTATTATAGCATGATAACGATTATGGGTTGGCAGGTTACTAATTGACAGTAACTCGGTTTTTCAGAGGCTTGGAGGTTGGGCTGCAGTGCACCCTACTTAACGTGGTTATTATGTCCCTTACTACAAAATGGAACCCAGTACGTATGTAGTTAGGGGCCAGTTAGTCCAAGGTATGTACTGCGTCCATGCCCACTCAAAAAAACAGTGAATGTGTGGGGGGAGTGAAGTGGAAGCGGCGCAAGACAACCCCAATATAAACAAATTCACGCGCAAACCATCTCGCGCTCACTCACTGGGACAGGGGTGGATCTCGGCACTTGGGATGCTCACAATACCACACGTTTATAGTCGTCTGACCGCGTTGGAAATGCCGAGAAAAGTACAGCCAAAAATTCTAAGCGGCCCTTGGTGAGGTTATGTCAGACGTATGTGACCGCATGGACAGATAGGGAAATGATAAATCATGGGTTTTGACGATGAGCGTGTCATTGTTTAATATCCCAAGTGGTTAAATTTTGTATACGGTCAGAGGCACATTACCAGGGTTATGTTGTCACTGCATGCATAAGAGTGACAGAACTACTAATAGATAAGGGTGCTTGTGAACTTGTGCAGGCCAAGATTACATACCGCGCCATCGGCCTCAACTTGTGTCGGTGATAAAGCATTGATCAGCCATAGTAAGCACATAGTTTCGGAGGCTAATTAAAAGGAAGAGGAAATGTACAACGCAAATACAGTAGCAGATGAAACGGCAGCCTAATGCCACAGCAATGGGCGTCACCTTCACCAGCTTTCGACTAATCCCGAATACAGCCGACAGTGTATGGTCTCAGGACACAGATCGTGCAGCATTAAGATCGGCGAACAAGCGGACACAATTCCGAATCTCAGATCTTCCGTACATTGGGCTTGAGTACGGCGGGTAAAACTGCTTGTTTTAGTCTGTCTTGTCCGTTTCTATTAAACCCTTGAAAAGAATGTGAACCTGTTGGCCGTTAGATAGATGTCGACATTTTGGCGACTACAGAAGTAGCTACGATATAGCTTATGTCTTGCCAGGAAGATTTGGCCCCACATAGAAAGTGGTGCCAACAATTGGGTCAATACAAACGTGTCCATGTCCATGACTGACTTTCTAAGATAAGGAATGGTAGGTGAGTCGTGATAATCTTACCAGAAGGAAAGATTAAACGATGGGGCAGAGGACTCCCAGCGGGGTCGGACCCCACAGCTTACAGGCAAAGTGGTGAAGAGAAACAAAAGCACGCAAAGTCAGCCATAAAGATGCAAAGTGTAGTTTCAGCTAAAAAGCTCACGGACTGTAACCAAAATGCCAACGGGTAGGGGGCATTCAGAATAGGGCGGCCATCAGTTAAGTCAGGATAGTCACTCGAGATGGTAGTTGGCCGGCTAGTTTGGTACCAGATTAACAAAAGACCCAGGACACTAAAAGGTCCCACGTCCGGCGAATCACTCTTACCAAATGTGCTAACCTCTGGCATGGCTCTGGAGTATTCATTATTGACAAACTTAACAGAAACTCCAAAACCATGAGAACGGCTACCGAATAGGACTGGGTCTAGCTGCAAGACTAGATGCGAAATCCTACAAATGTCCACAATCGAACGCTAACAGATCGGCCTTTAACGGAGTTCCATCAAGAAAAAGGAGAATCTGCCCGCATGAAAAGTAATGAATTGCGGGCCATGCATCCATAATATGGTCTGCTTTCGATAATCATCAAGCTGGCGAGAAAATCACCAGTGACGGACCAGAAACTGAAATAGAATTCAACAGGGCTTCACCAGCAGTCATCTCACAGACTAGTGCCCTTACTGTGGACCATGATGAATCCGCAACCTCGACTACGTTATAGTACGTGCAATCACATTGAGATTGGAATTAAAATAGCCGACAGCCTCTACGGGCTGTCGGCATTCTGGTCCACAGCAGAAACGGAATCGTTCACTCCCGTCCCGCACTTTGGATAGGTCGGCGGACAGCACTAGCATGTGCCAAGCGCATGACAATGGGCGACATATGGATAGGGAATCCTGAGTCCTATGGTAGTTCCTTCATGTAAACAGAGGGCACTCGTCAAAATAAGTTCGTCAGGACTACTTGGCCGTTTTAGTTTCAAGTTGAGAGAACAGAAATACTGCCATTGTCATTTCTGATGATAGACTCCTGCCAGAGTTCGCAAGTCCAGAAAAGTGAAGAAACGGCTCGAGCCAGTCTGCTTTTTACCCATACGTCTGTGTTAGAAACTTAGAACAATATAAAATGAATGAGGTGAGCACTCAGTCCTGTCAGCCGTTCACTGTATCACGCAACTAAAAAAGACAGCAAAAAACGCAAGCAAATGCCCAACTGTCTTACGTACACATTTTGCTGATGTGAAACGTTGCCCATCAGTATTTGGTGCATGCTGAAACTCGCGAATTCATTTTCTGTCTGTATGGACTGGGTATTTATGTTAAATTTACAATCCGGCAACACACTTTCGCATTCCTGGGAAATAATTTCGTAATGCTCTTGTTCAACCGATGCGGCATCCAGCGCAAAAGAAAAATGTCACTTGTCTGGACAAAAATAAAGATTAAAGACTATAGATCAGCCACGCAGTTCCCATCCTTTCATTTGCTAAGTTCGAAGACAATACCCTTACAATGTAAGCGCATAAGCAGGGACTTGGAAGTATATGGGATCTTTTTTCATATTATATGACAATGAACGGACAAATGCAGGACACAAACTAGATTGCCTTCGAAACCACACGAAAGTGAGCGAACTGGAAGACTAAAATACTTTTAAAGATTAGCCATTCAAATTGCGAGCGCCAGGTTAGCGAGGCTGTTGGCTGTGACAGTCGTAACGGGCCTTTTTGTAAACGTAAACTTTGAGATCAAAAATATCTATCATATCTATGGTTAACAACATCGTACAATCGATAAAATTGGAGGGGAAATCAGCGTGCGTTGTCACGCGTGAACTTACCAAGATCTTCGCTGCCATTGCTACTCCCATTAAACCAAATTAGGCTTAATACCACAACCGAATTTATGAAGATCCAGTACTGCATGGTTAAGTTTCCAGAGTCGCCTGTTATGACGAGAGACCTGCTTATGTCAACCGCATCTTGTTGACATCGATTACGCACACCAAGTGACTAAAATCGTTGATTTACCACCACAAAACCAAACAGTCCAAATTCAATCTTAAACTTTTTCAAGAACATGTATCTTGAAGGTCGGTGACTTAGCTAATCAGGGGTCGGAGTTTTAACGAGTATCAGAACATTATTACGGAAATGGATGACGTCGTAGTTGGCAGATTGTCCGGAAAAAGAGCAATTTTCTTTTAAGCCATCTGTAAGCGTTTTACTACGGACTTTGCACTGAGTGCCTAGTGTTGACCTGTGACATGAATGAGACTGAGGACCGGGATGCAGTAAAAAATGCGGAAAGGAAGTCTATGACAGGTATTTTAGTAAATAATGCAATTAGTCAGACAGCGGTACGAACCTTCAAGCAATAACAACTTGGAAACTTCAACTTTTATTATCTATGGTCTCATGCGGAACTTGCAGAAATGTAAAATTAACACGATAGAAAATAAAGCCGTGAGGGGATAAGGACAAGTGGCAACGAAATGTATGTAAAAGGAAAGCAAAATGTTATACTCGTGCATAATGCATTAAGAGCAACTAACGATAGACACAAGAACACGTCAAAGCAACACTGTAGCAGGTAGATGTCAGATATCGTAGGAAAACAGTCAAAATTAATAAATATTTCTTTGTACAGTGTTTTGGTACTTTTCACCAGATGAATATCCTTGGCTCAGCTACGACATCGGCAGTTTTTCCGTCGTTGAGAACTGACCGTCGGTTTCTACAATGTCCACCCTGTGCCCCACAGGAGGGTGGGAGCAAGAACGGTGACTTGCGCAGGGCAGCGTAAACTTGCGCTTCATCTACCACACTCCCTCCCTCCCTCCCCACCAGGATTCGTAGTCAAGATAGAGTTAAGAAGACCGGAGACGGAGGAGGTCGCACGTGGATGGCACAGTCGAGCCGCACCTTGGCGTTCCACACCACACCCTCTGGTCCACATAGCAAATAACCAGTTTTTTGACCAGTGGCAAAAGATATTGAGGCTTGCAAGACCAAAATCGCACTTAGACATGCTGTCTTACCCGGCTCGAATCCCACTGAGTGGGAGTCCCATAAATGCCACATTAAGAAGGAGCCATTACTGCCTGACTGTCAGACCACTAGTCCGCCACTCCACACAAACACACTTAACACTGGGCCGATTGCGAGGTCCAAGTTATCCCGTCAGTTGGGAACCTTCCAATTCACGGTTTTTAGCGCACCGTGATAGCTTCAAGCGCGCCAGATTGTTAAGAGGTAGGACGAGAATGTGCTGAGTATTCGACCTCACTATCCCTCCCCATTCTCAGCTCCCAGACACTGTACGAGCCGGTCAAATGAGCGGTGCGGGGGGTGGGCGCCGTTGCTGACATGATCAAGTGACCCTGTCTGCGCTTACCACATGCACGACCTGGTGCCCCAAAAACAAGCACTAGGATTTCACACAACGAAGGTTGAGCGGCGTGAGAGTACCGTAGAAGGAACTGTTTCGGCCCCACTCCCAGCCTGCCAGTTCGCCACTCCACACAACACACACAGAAATGGACGGACTGCTTGGACGAAGTTGGAGAGTCAGTTAGCGGCCTTCAAATCCGCGGCGCTCGACGCGCCGGGATAGTCTCAGGCTCGCGCCACCAATGCGACAAGGGCTGCATGGAGACTGATTTGATACTTACACTTCCCGCTTGCGTGGTAGGTGACAGTTGGTTGCTTGCGATGGGTGATGTTGATGTGCGGGGAGATGGCGTGAGGGAAAAAGTCATTTTGTGGTGCGGTCGGCGGTTGTCTACTGCATGTTTTCTTGGATTTGCCTGTGGCCGAATAGACACATGCGATGCATGAAAGTGCGAGGCCAGTGTGGGCAGTGGAGGCGGTTGCGGAGGATGTAGATTGGTTCCCCAGGCACTGGTTTTACGGTCTCTGTGCGATGGACTTGCAAGTGACCGACCAGGCTGATGTGTGAGGTGAAGGTGCGGTCACAGTGAGGAGAGGTGTAGTACTGGTGTCGATGGTAATGGTGTTGGTAATTGTTGGTTTCTCAGGATTGTGTGTAATGTTGGTGCGCATGGTAAACACCACAACGGTAGCCGTCTGGGCAGCGCAGGAAGAGGAGGA